GCTAAAGACTGACTAGAATTGCACAATTTAATAGATAGAACCAAAGAAATAAAATCTTTTACTTCATTATTTTTACTATTTTTATACCAACAGCTTGAAATCAAAGAAATGTGGAACCTAGCAACATTCGATTTCATTAAAACTTTTATAAAGTGGTAATAGATGATTTCTTTACTGATTAATATAAGACAAGTATATAAGTGCATTCCATCCTTAAGAATTATTACATGATGGGTAAAGTGACCTGAAAATGGTCCCTGTAGTGCTATGATTCAAATCTGCTCAACTTCATCATGTTGCAAAGACTGTATTAATGATTTGAAACCTGTTTGATGCCTTTCATAGTCATCTTCAAGACACCCATTCTCCAAATATCCTCTGGCTCTAGTGAAAAATTATCCCAATCATAAGATATTTCAGTAACATCATACAAAAAAGCTTTCGAAAAGTTATTGGCATTGAAGAGAGAGAATATACAGAGCCAAATACTCTTGAATTAAAGAATTAATAGAATGAAAATATTGACTTGCAACATGGGGTAGGCCTATAAAAAGATTCATATTCCTTTGCTCGTTTATCCGTGCATACCTTGCTTCTTCGTTTAGATGATTTTGTATAGAATCAATTAGGTGCAACAACGTTAAACTATGTGAAACCTCCTTTTTAATAATTTTGTTTATACCTTCTATACGCTGGATACTTTGTACACCAGCTGTGAACCACGCTTGTGTGTAGCATATCACCCAACTATAATATGTAGGATAAAGCATTTCAAGTGCATATCAGGATGCTTTAGAAAATGGTTTCAGAAATTCTATAAAACGCATCCAATGACGCTCAAAGTTAATTTCAAACAAGCTATTACGGAACTAGTAAAAAAGCCTATAGCACTCATCAAAATATTTGCCCATGATATCCTTTAATTTCTTAATAAAATTGTTATTCAAATGAAATATACAGTAAGAATGATGCATGTTAGGCCATATATTTTATATAGCCGCACCTATGGCCAGATCAGCATCTGTATAGATAATTTTAGGAACAGTTTGATTACTTGCATTTTTTAACTGCTCTAAAACCCTAAATAATGTTATTAGAACAAGAATAACATAAATGAATAATAGTACAAAAAAAAAAGAATAGTAATGCAAAAAAAAAAAAACCACTCAAAAGAGGCCTGTATTTCATCTTTTAATAATGTCTGAGCAACAATCTGTGAGTGAGTATTATTATTGATGATTAAGAAGAGACACATTGGCATTTCATAACGATTTGTCTTGTATGTATTATTAGTAATAACAATATCATGAAATTGAAACTATAAAGAAACTTGTAAAGAAGACATACAGAAAAGTGCAGTCAGCCTGTTTTCTTCACCCTCTATATTAGGTATAACAATCCATTCAGGATCATCTGCTTTTAAAGCTATCAACTGTTGTAGAGCTTTTGTGTTGTCAGTCTTCAGTTTCTCACGTGATGGAATTCGGAACTGTTGAATAGCATTGTATAAATCTTTTTTTTCAATATATTCGCCTAAAAATTTCGCTTTCAAAAGATTATACTGCATCTTGGCACCCATGCCTTCCACAGAACGTGTATAAAATTCTATATTCTCTAGCATTTCCTTTGCCAATTTACGAAAATGTGACGCAGTTTGAACAATTATAAGATTCAAATCATGGATATGCATATCATAGAATGATATATACACTATCTTGACAGTGCTCTTATGATTATTAAAATTCACATGCCAATTGCAATTAATTACTGCTGAATGGCGTTTGCGCTGTTTAGTGATATTCACATCTTTTTTGGGCTTGTGTACACGTGAGTAAGAACATTCATAGCTACGATGATGAATGCTTGTATGGTTTGTATGCAAATCAGTCCTACTTTTTCGAAAGGAAAAACCTTTACATTTTCTGTATGATTCTATAAATTTGTTTATATCTTCCCATGTAGTGAATATAAAACCAATATATAATCGAAGCAGATCTTCATTTGATTCATCTTCACTGAAAACATCTTGTGAACTGCACAAATTTATTCATTAGTTGCACATTAAGATATATACAAAAAAGTCAAATAAACTACTTACTATGTTTCATTTCCAAATTAACTTGCTGGTTATCACAATCTTGCACTTCATCTTCTGAACTGATGATTTGATGCTCACAGGTCTCTAACGGCAATTCAATTGCTTTATTTTCAAAACTAAAAGTAATCAATGGATATTAGTCGCTTTTGATAATCAAACAAGCACTATGATCAATAACCTTCTAAAGTTTTTAAAGAAAAAACTAATTAAATGTCATTGTAGTATGTAGTTACTAAACACCAACACTAACTTGAAACGTTGATTCTGTGTCAAATTGGAATCAAACCTAGGTTCCATTATAGGATTGCTTAGCAACGTTAAAAAAGCAAACCAATTCGAAATTAATTTAATGCATATCTACCAAACCTCTTCACTAACCTTTTAACTTGAGGGTTCTGCGCAAAATTAAAATCGGCCTCAGGTTCTATCGTAGAATTGCTTAACAACATTAAAAACAATCCATTAGAAGTTAGTTTAACATGTAGCTACCAAGCTTCCTCACCAACCTTATGAGGCTTTGGTTCCATGCTAAATTGAAGTCAACTTCAGGCCCTTCGATTGAACTACTTTGATCATTAAAAAAGAAGCTAATTAGACATTATATTAACACTTGCTTACAAGAAACAACAAGCAGGTATGAAAATCCTCACAAACCTTATGAGGCTTTGGTTCCACGCCAACTTCAGGTCATTCGATTGAACTACTTTGATCATTAAAAAAGAAACTAATTAGACATTATATTAACACTTGCTTATATGAAACTTTTTCACTAATCTTGTAAAACTTTGTATTGTAGTATTAAATGTCATTACACAGTAAGTCAGCTTGCTGATATGATTTTTCCTATTGTGTACTTTTTTTTGATTCGTTATTGACCACCTAACTTTCTTTTTCTACAATGTATACTAACTGTTTATTAATTTCTACTA